ACAGCGTTTTAAAAGAAGCAAGGGCTCTGTGTAACATCAAAGTAAACACAACTCAGTATAATGTGAATATTAAAAAAAACTAAAATAGGACTTTAATCACAATTCAACAAACAGCCAAATGGATATTTTTAAACAAAGTGTATTCTATAATTACTATATATAATTCTATTAGGTAAAAAGTAGAACATGTACCAGATCATATCTGCTTTAGTTTAATATAACATAAATCCATTTACACTACAAAGCAATCAGTTCACTAAACTGACTCTGAGTTAATTTCTTCGAATACAGGTGATGTGTTTGGGAACACTGCTGACAGGAGGGTCATTTACTCCACAAAACTGAAGAGAGGCAAAAGAACAAAAAACCTGAAAGGTCCCACTTGAAGGTATAGCGGAGGATGTTCTTTTTCCAGGTGGATCATCAAAATAAGCGGTCCTCCTAACTGTCAATCATTCTGGTGATATGTCTACATGAGGCCGTCCTAAGTGTTCGTCTCCATTTTCACTTGCCGATGGCGAGTCTGACATAGTGGAAAAATTGCAAATCTTCTTTTGGAAAGTAAGCTTGTATGAACGATGCAAACAGCAGCTTTTAAACAGAGCGTGCACGAGGAGAAATGGGCCCATGCATGCTCTCACACACATTTAATAGGCGTTCCCTCTCGTGAGCGGGTACATCATTGTGCATTTTTTAAGTGGAGAGAGCGAGTCTTTGCAAAATTTCGTGAAAATCCTCCAGCATACCAGAGGAGACAGTCAGAATGTGAAGTAAAGGTCTCTGATCTATATAAAAATGTTTGATGGGAAAGCACCGCTGCACACTGGGGGCAATGTCGATGGAAAAATGCCAAGGCCGAAAACCGTTCCCAGTCCGAGCCTGAGTGGCGGTGTTAAATAGAGTGATTTTAAATGAATAATCTGTGGCAAAAATTAAAACTCAGGTTTTAAATGCTCCCTCTGTCCAATCAGACAAAACTGTTTAGCAAGGTACTGAACATGAAGCGCCAGCCTCTTCAAAGGATGTAGCTATAATTGCAGAGAAAGGTTCTTATGTTCTTAAACATATCAGGCATGGATGATGAACACAAAAAGCATGAAACCCTGCTAAAAATTAGACTCTAAATGCCTTTTAAAACCCATTTGTAATCTTTCCTCCACCTTATATGTTACTTTGATGGTTGTGTCTTGGTTTTTTACATTTAAGCCTAACAATTGGTTTCTAAGTAACAGATACTTGATCATCAGTAAACTCCCACGAGCCATTTAAAATCATTTAGAGTGATGGGCTGCACTCTATAAGAGGCTGTGTGGAAAGTCCTCATATGAATGTCCTACCAAGGTCACTCTATTTGTTCCAGATGCTATTTCAATTAGATAGAATGATATCCGGATTCTTTCAGGCAAACAATTAAGCACACTAGAAGAAGCCTAAAAACTTTGCAGTTATCTAAATCAGTTGGAGACCTTAAATCCCCAAACTTCAAATACTACCACTGGGCTGCAAAACTTCTTTCCCTACTGGTGTGGATCCAGAACAGTCTAGACACCCAACAGCCTGGGATGGACGAAGGTATAAACTCAGAGCCACTATAAATATTACCCTTCTTAGATGCCCCTGCAAAGGAAATGACTACTGAATACTATTAAATTTTTGAATAAAATGCAATTAGTTTTTAAGGTATCAAAACAGAATTGACAAGATTCTTTTAACAAACAAACTAGATACTGGCTTCAGAAACTGGTCTAATCCTGGACTATGTTATATTCATCAATTTACTTAAAAGGGAAAATTCGAACTTTCTGGGCAGATGAAAAATCTATTTGGTCTCTCTAAACACACTTCTATAGATTTATACAGCTTCATTAAACCTACTCCTATAGACAATTGTTATACAAACATAAATATGCATATCAACATACATACGCATATCTACATACATACGCATATCTACATACATATGCATATCTACATGTACATATGCATGCATGCATACATACATAGTTTCCCTCTCTTATGTATGTATGTCTGTATGGATGCATGCATCCATGCAATAGCAGAGGATAAATGGGAAGAAATGTGTATTGGAGCACATAGAGAAAATTCAAAGAGATGGTTAGAATCTTTTTTTCAGGATGCCAGGAATAGCTAGTACAATGAGCCCTACACAAACCAGTTCATGCTGGAGGTACTGCAGAACGCAAACGGAAAACCGTACTTGTATGTTCTGGTCTTGTCCTAATCTATGTTTATCCTGGGATGAGATATCTGAAGCTCCCAGGGTGATTTTAAAAAGAGAGGTCCCAACCCCCCCACCCCGACGTGGAAACAATGGGAGAAAAACCCGAAGCAAGGGTCAGGACGAATGAGCCATACTACTCAAAACAGCACTAAAACATAACTATTAGATGGTTGAAGCCTCCAATGTAGAAGGTATGGATTCAAAAGGTTTGGGATACTTATGCGATGGAGCAGATAACATACTCTTTAAGACTAAGACAAATGTTTCATACTAGGTGGGGTCCGGTTTATCCAATGAATAAAGAGCGAGCTTTATAAAGAGAATTTGACCATAAATGGCTTTTAAAACCAATTTCTTTCTAAAACTTATAATAATATAATTGATAATAAATAATAATTAAACTTTACCTCTGTACCTCTGCATTTAACCCATCTCTATATCTATTAGTTCTAAGGTTGTTTCTTGATTTTTCTAATGAAATATTAATAACTTTTAAGGAGAAACTGTGATCAGCGAGCTGAAATATTATTAAGAGACTGTAGATCATTATAATTTCATTGGTAATTGTGTGTGAGAAATATACCTGACATGCTTCCCATGAATGAAGGACAGCACACAGAGGTTGACCATGTTCCAGGATGTGCAGTTGTCATATCTCATGAGGTTTAAAGCCATGGCAACGTGGGAATGACAGTTATCTAAACACAAGTTGTGCTTTGATGCAAATTGGGGAAAAACAGAAAATACATAAATGAGACGTGTGAACAATTCTGTACCAGAAGGCATTTCACAAAAAAAAGATCTACCGTAGGTACATTCATACCGGCCTGCATTTGTATTCCTCAGATGCATCATGGACTGCTTGGTCCCATGTAGCTGCGCCATTCCCACAAACCTTATCAACATCAAGTCTCCAAAACCTACAACATTCATTTGATTAAAAGTTGGAAATTGCAAAACACCACAGTTAAATAATCAAACTTACTTTGTAGGTCGACCAAACCCCATGTTATCCTCCTGTAGAGACAATCACAGGTTTTATAATAATGTTCAGGGCTCACAGCCACATGGGGTGAGATGCTGTTATTATAAGGTCTATAGAAATAGGAGAGTACCGAAACGAAGTAGGATCCTGCAAAGTCTCTTATGACCCCTGATGAGGTGCAGATGCCCATGTGACCAATGAAGGGAAGCACCCACCTGCAGGATGGATTCAATTAATAAGTTAATTCAGGTCTGATCGTTTCACAGATTATAATCCATGCTGTGCATTTAATCCATCTATGTAAATAAATAAATACAAAAACAAAAACTGAGGGAGGGATAGGCGGATTAATGTTTTGATTACATGTTATAGGGAAGATGCGTTAGATTTATCAAATGCAGCATTTAATGGGGCAGGTTTGGGAATCGTGAGCGTCTTACGATAGAATCGGGATAGGTGTCCAGACAATGCAGTACGGATAGCGGCTGCTTTTCCTGCCGCTTTTTAAGAAATCCGCCTGGTAGCTCATCATGATGTCGGTGTCTTCCACCTCCGCCATCACAGCCTGAGATCACAGAGGGAGACCCAGACGGCGCTGACGCACAGAGGCAGCGCAGGGTATGGTAGGCTGTTTGGGCATATAATCTAACTGCGCCTCATGTTCCATTCCCGGACATAAGCAGGGGCGAAGCTAGATGGGGGGGCAGGGGTGGCCACCCCTACCATTTTTTCCCCTCTAATACAGATGGTGGGAGCCAGTGATGGGAGTAATGCCGTTACTAACGCTGTTACCTTTTTTTAGTAACAAGTAATCTATCTAATTACTTTGACTGTAACTATAATGCAGTTACCATTGCCGACACCCTGTTACTGAGGTCGCAGAATTAACCTTTTTTCATGATAGGACTCGTGCACGCCTTGTCATAAGAGAGGGGAGGATGAGAATGGCTGATGTATAGTGAGATTACATCTTCCAGTTGGGTAGGTGGGTGTTTCCACTGGCAGGTGTTAACGTACAGCACAAAGAGAGATGGTGAGTGAGGAGGACTCCAGCAGCAAAACAGCGTTTTCCAGATGTGAATACCAGTGTTACGTCGAGCTGCGTTTCCCCACCTGATACAGTTTCCCCTGCATCTCTGCACAGCGCAGGCGGCACGATTCACCGCGCAAGTGACAGGAAACGTACATGCTCGCTAAAGGCGCGCAACAGTCGCCCTGTGCTCGCGCCACAGGAGAACTACGGAGAGCGTGAACGATCAAATGTTAGCCTATATGGAGAAATCTCAATGGATGGATGGATGGATGGATGGATGGATGTTGCAGTATCTATAACAACCCAAACACACAGGATTTCAGAATTAGACGTTCCCAGTTATTAATTTCATACACTCACCAGATCTGAACTCACACCCATGAGTAGAGGTAATGCAGCCTGATGATATTTTAACGGCATCAGATAGCGTTCCCCCATGTTAAGCAGGGGGAACGCTATCTGACGCAGTTTATAGGCCCGTCAGATAGCGTTCCCACCCTCATCTCATTTACGTTGAGTTGCAAAATGCAAAACTCTCTGCAGGTACTTGTCTTTGTCGTCCACTCTATTCAGCTGGCTTTGTGGTGAGGGTTACGGAGGCGAGAAACGCAATAGTTACTTTTACTAGTAACTAGCTACTTTCATTGTGGAGTAACTCAGTAACTCAGTTACTTTTTTTGGAGAAGTAACTAGTAACTATAACTAATTACTTTTTCAAACTAACGTGTCCAACACTGGTGGCAGCAGTAATACTCTCAAATGGAATATTCTAAACATTTACATTTTTTGTGGTTAATTATACATATCAATATATTAACACCAAAGATGATAAATACAGATTTCATTCTCTTTTCAAAAATACATTTTGTGTTATATTGGGTAAAGAGAAAATATGTCTCTGCAAGTCATCTGGGAGTCTTTAGTGAAATCATAGATAAATAACAATTTTAATAAAAACTTATCAAATAATCAGTTTATGTAGATATTAGTGCTTGTAAACATAAATTTTATGCAGAATGTTTATTGATACAAGTGGGTAAGTAATGACGACGGAAAAGATTAACGCCCCAGATCTCAACATTGAAAGAAATAAATTAAATATGTGCGTTTATTTGTAGGAAACTATAGTTTGGCTTTATTTAGAAAATAAGGATGTTGTGCTAATTCATTTTCCTGTTGAACAGTGTAGATTGATCCTGAGGTTCTGGCGCCTATCTGCTTTTGGCCCCCCTCTCAGTGTACATTGGTTATTGCCTGGCCACCCTTATTGAAATGTTCTGGCTACGCCTCTGGACATAAACATATCTTAGAATTATTATGGACAGGGGCGCCGCCAGGAAACTGTTCCTTCAATCACCTGAGGAATATTTTCAGGTTTGAAGGACAAATGTCTCATTTGTCACATTGAAGAAACTTTTCCATGCTTCGATCCTTTGTGGGCTTTAGCTGTCTGGTTGAGATGGCAAGGTCATAATAATGAGATAATATCTCATTATTATGGGATAACTTTTTTTTTTTTTTCATCAGAGTGGTGGAAATGGCCTTCCATAAAGAATGGATTGAATAAACTGCATTCAGTACAAAAACATCCCACTACAGGTTTAAATCACTTAATTTATCTCTACGAGTTTTACAGATTCATAGTCAGACGTAGCTTTTTTTATTTTTAACTGGGGAATGTTCCTTCAAAAAAAGTTCTCTAGAGCCTTGCAACAGATTCTAGATTTTATTGAATTTACTTTTGATAAAAACCACTTAACTATAGGTCTGCTTTATGGTTGGGCTTCACCTGATAGAAGAGCAGTGTGTTTGCCATATACTAGTGAATAGTCTACAGATAAGGATTGTATTAATGTGTATACTTTTCTCTACTACTGATGTTTTGCTGAGTGACTAAGTATAGAGAAAATAACAGTGACACGAGAGGTTTGTGATAAAAATGTAATGCATGCCTCGTTAGCTAAAATAAATGAGTAACCGGGGAAGTTTTGTCCTTTTTTCCAGTCTTTAAATATTTGTTTCCAAATATAAAACACTAATTTCTACCGTATTTAGGACAATTTGTTGTGCAATAGTCAGCAGAAACACAGAACAGCAGACAGTGATAAATGAGCATACAGCAGCTTGAGACAGTGAGCTACATCTTCCTAACCTAGATAGGGTTATATCTGTAGTGATGTATTTTTTTTATGTTAAAAGTTTGTGTCAGTCATAGGGGAAAAAAATCATAAAAGACAAAATGTTAGTATTTTCTTTTAATTTTGCTTGGATCAAAGCTCATTACAGGGTCCACGGTGGAGGTGAAAACAAACCGAAGCAAAACTAAAACACATGGAAGCTGAATGATCCAGTGAGGACCCGTTCTTTAACATAGTTTTAACTGGGGTTTAAAGGAAATTCAATGAGCCGTACTCTGTGCACCTGATGGGGTGTGGCTCTTCTTTTTTTTTAACCTTGCAGCTTCAGCGTGAGAAGCCTCATGCAAGCTGAAAACCTGACCAATACTGGAACAGCCAGGAACTCAATGGTCACAATTATTTCAGCCCAGTTAATGGAACACAAATCTCCCACTTATTACAAAAAAGAAAGTCATCTCAAATGTATGTGCAAAATAAAAGGAGTGAAATCAAAGTTATTAGAAAGTTATTTGTGATACAAATTCTCCCTCGTTATTACCCATTCATCTTTATAAGCGGTAAACTACACTGAGCAAATTATGTGTAAATAAACGGAGGAACAAAAACCCCAAACATTAATCCTTGGCGGTTTTAAAACACAGATGGTAAACTTTGGCAGAAGAAAACTCTCGCTTTTCCTGACAGTTCAAACTATAAATAGATTAATCTTAGCAACGATCATCACAATGTGAGGAGCTACGCTTCGTTCAACGACTTCCTGTAACAGAAAATCCATCTGAGCGCAGGACTGAGTCCGACGTAGAACCTGTGACCGGTGTGCACAGCTGTTCCAACCTGAGCAGGAACCAGGAAGCTTTGCAGACACAAAAAGTGCTCTTCCATCTGAAAGCTGGCCACTGAGCGACCTGAAAATAGGTCGAGTGAATCTACACTGCTGCGTCTTTGTGTTGCGGGACTCTCCAACAAAAACCTGAAGGTATTAGCGCTGCACACCTCCTCCTTGGTGAGAAACTGGTAGCTGATGTGGAAGGGTTCCGCTCAGACGCTATTCAACCTCTGCTAATGCAGAGTGGGTGCTGTTGGTACCTAGAAAGCATGGGAGCGATGTTGCTGCCTTCCATGAGCTCCTAACCCAAAGGTGGTTTCCACCAGATCTGGCGTAGGATGGCGGTGCATAGTGCAGACATGTGGCATCACACCCAATGTTCTATCAGACAGGGAAGCGGGGTTCAGGTATTAAAACAGAATCTGGGAGAGTCCTTTGCTTCCTACAGCCATTCTACAGAACAAATACGGGTATTTAGCTTGTCCTGCACTGTACTGGTCCGTCCGAGCTGTCTTCATCATCAGAACCGTCGGGTCCAACGCCGCGCAGGCCTGTGATGCGATAACCCATGTTCAGGAGCATGACCTCCAAAGGATCTGCATTCATTCGCCGCTGATTTGCCTGAGCTGCTCCCTCCATGTCCTCCACCACACGCCCATTGTCACCATCGGTCTAAGGGAGAGAAAACAGCTTATAAAACATTCTTCATCTGACGTAAAAGATTTTAGTGCCCACCTGAGATCTCATGTGCAAATATTTTATGGAGTACCTCTGGGGTTTATGGGGTTCAAGTTCTGCAATTATAACCTTTTAGCTAGCTGGCAATTGACTTATTTTCCTTCGTCATCTTTCATGATTCAAAAATCATCCATCATTCTCCCGATCAGCTTTCTATATAAGCATTTATTCAATTAATGCACTGAACTGATAAAATGCATTATGCGCTCTGATGCACTTTTAAATTTTCAAAATAAGAACCTATTAAAGCAAAAATAATCTGATGCATAGATTCAGATATTCTTCAAGCTTATTTGCTCTTATAGGTCACAGTCATATAAAACAGGGCAGGTCAGACCCAAATAAACAGCAGCTATCAGGATTATACCAGAGAAGCCTGATTCGGTGCATATTTAGTACGCTTTCAGCTTTTGGAGACGAACCGACTGATGTCCTGTCTCGAAATAATTAAGTAAATTTTTTTTCCCCTTAGACTGAAAGTGGCAGAGCTTTTATCCATTTTGGACCTTTTTTTTTAAATTACACAGAAATGTACCAAAGTTGAAAAAATGGATGCAAGAAGTGTGAAAAAAAAAAAACAAATATATTTTTTATTTTTTCTCCCTAAACTTTTCCAGATCCAGAAAATATCTGAAACCTTTCCATTCCCACACTTCTCCAGCCTGCCACGTTTGTGCTACAAAGGGATTTAGTTTCTTTACCTCTGGCCGCGGGTTCCATAACCGAACCACAGGGTCGATACCACTAGTGGCCAGGAAGCAGTAGCTTGGGTGGGGCTGGAGGCAGTTGACTATTGACTCATCTCCCTGAAGGATCCTCACCAGGTTAGTCGTTTCCTTCTCCCAGATGAAAAATGAGCCATCATCTGAGCCACTCACGATATACTGGCCTTTGCTAGAGAGAAAAGACATCTGTTCAGACCTGTCTGTCAAGACATGCTCTTGGAACAAGAAAATTCACAGAATTTTTTGGGGATTTATTTTTACTTGGAAAACGCACTTTTAAATAAACAACAACACTTTTAAATCTGACTCCTTAAGCAGAATGATGGTACCCGTGTATCTAGCAACTTTTCTCAGTAAATGTAGTGAAAGGTAACTGAGCAGGATATTCTGGTATGTGAGGTTCAGAACGAGGTGACACAATCTGTTTGGTTACTCAGTTAACAGAGAAATTTAAACGACAAAGAGCAGCAGTGAGTCATATTGAGCCATCAGAGTATTTTATAACACAATGAGACCTCTAAAGGATTAAGACCAGTCGACAAGTTCCTTTAGAGTTCCATTACTTTCCAGACGTTCAGTTCATTCTTATGGCATCCACTATGTTTACAATGTGGCTGTCTGTGTGCCACTGAATATCAACAATGGATAGACTGTTTAAACGTTTCAAAATATAGTTTTTAAATGTATGAGTGTGATTTCAAAAATATTAAAAAGAAGGTGTCTTGCAAACCATGTCTTTTGTTGCAGCGAAGTATGTTTATTAAAGGCCCAGTACAGATACTGGCAAGCTATCTAAACTTAAAAAAAAAAACTGCTAAAATTATTCAAAGAATATTAAAGAAAAGACTGCAGACAGATGAGGGATAAAGTTGTGTCCACATTTAAGGCAGAATTAAGTAATTAAATATCCCAAACTTTCCTATTCTCACAGAGGACAGTTTTAAACATCGTTAACATTTAATTAAGGAATAGGGTGTGGCACAAAGTCACAAATCAGAGAGCATAAATCTGAAAAGCAGCAAAGAGCAACAGCTGACAGTTGGGAGATAACAAGTCAACAATTAATGATGTAATCCAATAGTTCTGATTGAGCAGTAGCAGAAAGAGAGTGGTTTAAAAAACAAAACAACCATTTTGCAGTTTGCACAAGTCTAAGAAGCACACACAGCAAACAGTGAAGGTGTTCCGATAGAAAACATGGTGGCAGCACTGTCATCATCTGTTGTGAAGCTTTTCCTCTGGAGCACCTGGAACTGAAGCTAAATTGGGGCTAATCAGGGAAAAAATGCTTTAAAGGCAGCAAACGGCTAGAGGTGGTGATGGAGGAAGACCTTCCCGCAAAGTAATGAGCTGAAACTCACAACCAGAGCCAGAAATCCCACCAGGAAACAGCCTGATCGCTTTTCACCGAGCAGCTGAAGATCAGCTGAGGGAGAAACATTTGAAAAACTTTCCTTTAAAAAAATTTGTTAAAAAAGTTTGTTAAAAATTGTCTTTGCTGCAATCTGGACAATTTTCTAATGTGTTTTTTGGACATCTAGGGCAATACCATGTAACATAAGATAATAAAAAAGTTTCAAATCAATGGAGGAGGTAAAAAAAAAAAGGGTGAAAATTCAACACTAACATTAGAGAATGCAGTGGGTCCCAGAGGTTTAAAGGAAGCCAAAACAATCCTAAGGATTTACTCACCTTTGGCAGCTTCACTGTACAAACTAGCAAGCATGTTCAGTACATCACAATAGAAATGTTACTTCACAGCTAGACCTGAAGGACTATAATGAAATCACAGAGCTTCAGACTGCCATCTAGTGACACAACAGCAGAATGGAAGCGTGGTGTACAGACCTCCCAAAGAAGTTGGCCTCTTTAATGTCCGTGGTGGTGTTGCAGTGGCCACAGTATCTGTGCTTGTAGTCAAAACTGTGCTCCCTCAGAGTTATCTCGTCATCAGGAATGGACTCTTTACGACTGAACGAGTGGAAACGAATGGAGCTGTTGGCCTTTTTATCGTCTGCAGGCAAAGACAAAAATACCACTTACCAAAACTTTTTTGTGTAACCCCCTCACTACCATGATGCTGCGTATTTTAAATGGATAAAATCAAAGCTTTTAAAGCTTCTTTTAAACGTGCTACGACTGTTGCTCATTTCTTATAAACTCAAACAGGAATATTTTAAATCGTAAACTAACCTCCGTCCCACCTAAAGCTGAGAAACATGGGCACAATCCCAGATGTTTCTTAACCGAGGAGGAATGAATCTGTGGAATTATCTCTGGTTCACAAGTTGCTTTAAAAAAAACAACAAAAAAAAACAGCGAAAGCTGCAGCCCCTCCCCTGGACACGTCTTTTTTGCAGCACCTCCAGAAGCACCAGCTTCTGCCAAAGCAATTTTCTTATTTTCCCCTCAAATCTAGAATGATCTTTGCTTTGTAATCTGCCTCAAAGCCAGGGTTATTTCGGTTTCCTTTTTTCTTTCCACCCAACTTTCCATGCATATAATTGGATATAACATTTTAGGTTGATATAACATTGTGGGCATCAGTAGCTGTCTGCTGAAAAACCGTGGAGTAATCAGGACTCTTCTCACTGATTGTATGGAAGTTAAAATTTCTATTAAAATTAGTTTGTTTAACATAATATAAACTTTTGATTTTGAGATTTAATTACCTGTAAACCTCCATGATAACTTGATATACATCTCAGGGTTGTCCCTGCTAAGCTCATGTTTTATCAGCATATAAGACTGCAATCACAGCTCCCTCCTGCGAGGCGCTTTCTAGCAGATTTCAGCACAAACGCTGGTTATGCTGAAGGCTGACAAAATTAGTGAAATTAGGCTGATATACTGACTTTTAATGAGTATAATGACTACGGAAACTTTGTTTATAAATACATTTACCTCCCTAATGGCACATATAAGTGTAAAAGCGGCACTTGGTGGTGAAAATTTGTGATTCGAAAGCATGGGTGAAGTGGCCAGGTTTGCAGGGAGTTCCAAAAAGCCGGGCTGTTAGGCTAAAATAACCAATGGTCAGAGTTTTTTTCCCTACGCAATAAAACGTAGAATTGTCAGTCAGTCTGATAGTTTGCATATTAGGAGGAGATATAAACATTATCTCTAATATGGAAAAAAGATTGAAAGACAAAGGAGTGGGCTCAGTTAGGAAAGAAAGAAACAAAAATAAATTACAATATTACAGCAAGCCATTACAACTTTGGCTAAGTTGGCATTAACTCTAACTAACCCTTAGAAGAACTCAAAATCTATCTAAGTCAACATGGCGGAGCCCGCAAAGCTCAGGAAGGTATGTTTTGTCATCTTTTATTTAATAGATGTATGATTTTATTTTATTTTTCTTCCTTACCGTTTCTTGTTTTGCACAAAGGAAGGACATTTACTTGACTGGTAAACATCTGATTTTACACCTGTTGAAAATGTTGCTGAGAATACCTATAGTGCAATATGGTTGCTCTGTAATGTTCTTTGCAGAAACAAATAAAGTTGTATTGGGGGGAAAAAATATTTTTTTTGTCATCATTTTGATATTTCGTTGTTTGCGGAAGGTCAGGTGAAAAAGGCAGTCTTTGGTGAATTTACTTGACAGAGTCGGCTTTTGGGAAGTGGATACGACAAACGATAGTCTAATCGGGGCTTACAGACACAGGAAACAATGACATGAGTTGAGGTTCATCACTGTTGTTCCTTACCTACTACACTTTAATGTAAAAGTCAATCCACCGGTATATAAGCCATCCTGATTGTACATATGACACCTCAAATCTCTGTGTTACTCCCTTGTATTTTTAAATTTTTTTTTATTTCTTATTTTTATTTTGTTTTTCATTGTGTGTGATACATGTACACTTGCACCTTAATCCTTATTTATCTTGATATACTGTATATACCTTGATATACTGTATATATATTGTTTATTCTTAATGCACCTTCTCTAATTACTATGCCAATATGTGACCAGTGAATTTCTCCGCTGTGAGATCAATAAAGCTCATCTAATCTAATCCAATCTAACTGCTAAGCAGAATCATCAATGGAAATCGGGTGGCACGGTAAGGAAGCTAGTATTTTTATAAATGTCTGAAATGTTCTGGTTACGGATGCAGTCTGCTAATACTCTCTTTGTTATCTGAGAACCGTTCCAGAATTAAACCGTGCCGAGCCCTGCTGATGAACTAGTACCAGTTAAGTGCGGTTTGGTTTGGTTGTGTCTGGCACGGTCTAGTTCAGCTGTGCCTGCCATTTACACTCAACAGTTATCTCGGTAACCATGCTCGGACCGATCTCGGCACGGTTTCAAAAGGGTGTATTAAATAGGGCTGATGATTAACAGATAATTTATTGTGCTGGTTTCAAAAAACAAACTCCTTTACACAATACATCCTAATCAAACCTAGTGGGTTGTAAACGGATGTTTTTATCTTCCTACCTGAATCAGACTTGGAGTATAGAGCAGCCTTGATATCTTTATCCAAAGCGTCGCAGGCACTGCTGTGTGCTTGCTCAGGAAACTTCCCTTTGAAATCGTCTAGACATTCCAGAGCCTCGGCCACATATTTCAGCTCAAACAGACACCGTGCCAGCCTGAAATGTGCTTTCAGATGTCCCGGGTTCAGTGCCAGAGCCTTCACGCAATCCCTAAGGGCGTCATAATGGTCTCCATCCCTGCAGGTCACACATAGATCATAGATTACCATTTACAAATCATACAGAAAATAAGAAAAGAATAAAAAGGTATATACCATTTGCGTTTCATATAGGCTGCAGCCCGGTTCCCGTAAAGCATGGCGTTGCCTCTGGCCTCATGAATGCCTAAACTATACAGCTGGATAGCCTGTGTCCACTGCTGGCGGGCAAACGCATTATTGGCCTGCTGCTTTATTTTCTCCAAGTGAGGGGGAAGCTCAGCAGAGCTAGAAAAAGATAAAAGGAAGAGGTAAAGCTTCAGTAAAACAGGCGCATATTAAAGTATAAAGAATAGAATTATATCCTACCTGGACTGCGTTTTGCTTTCAGAAAAGTGAATGTGGCCCGGTGGTAAATGAATGCCATTGGAGACGCCGTTGGTTGTCTTTCCATTCTGGACGTCTTAAAGAAAAAAAAAAAAAGCAGCTGAATGACTAAAACTTGCTCTGTATACATTAGCTCCTTTGTGCTCTACAAACAGAGGAATTACTCTGCATGCTTAGAGCTACCTGCTGATGACTGGCACAGTTTTGGAAGCACAAAGGTATATGGCCTCTGCTTTGACGTCAGGTCAAAAAGATAGACCTGTAGGGAGTGTACAAATGAACTAATCAGACATTTGAAGTCACTGAATGATAGAAAATAAGGCGTGATTCCTTGTTTATTGTGAGAAACGTCACCTGTTCTCCACCCATGTTCACAAGCAGCTCTGTGCCATCGGGGCTGAAGGTAACATAGGTGGCCACCAGGACCCTCAGGCGGTTGTTGTAGTCTCTGAGTTTCACTGGCAGATGGCCTGAAGCACAGCAGAGAACATCTTCAATTAACCTTTCATAGTGAACTTTCCATTAATGGATCAAAGGAACTAACAATATGTGAGAACATTTGACATATTATTGTAATTTAACTCAAAAAGCAAAATGTGTAAAATATATATAGATCCAGTAGCTACAGAGTTTTACATTTCAATCAGTTTCTCCAAAAAAGAATATCACACAGGTCCAAAAATACCAAACTCCCTTTTCTCAGGTCAGGCCAGTATGCTGTTCAGTAAAAGCAGTGACATCGTCGGTTTTTTAGGCAGTTTCTGAGTCCTGATGATAAATAAAATCAGCATCTCCTTAATTATCTCCATCAGACAGTAGTATGACACAGAGGACCAACACCAGCAGATGTTACAGCACCTAAATCATCACCGACTTTGGAGATTTCAACTTAAACTTCAAGCAGCTAGGGTTATGTTGCCTCTACACTTCTTCCACAGGAAAATACCTTGAATTCCAACTGAAATGCAACGTTTACAGGTAAAAGGGTACTTTAAAAGTCATGTCCTGGTTCTTTCTAGCCTGGGTCAGAAGCTGTTAAAGTCTGGGGATCAGAATTAGCTTCACACAATGAAAGCTACAGAGTTAGCTACATTGTGAACAAAGCTGTATGTTTTAGACTTCAAAGCTCCAAGCTACATTCATAAATGGGTTTCTTTGTGTTTTTTTTTTCTCCCTTCGACTAAACTTTCCATTAGCATGATTGGACACAACCCCATAATCATTATCCCTACACCTCACAGTCTTAATTTGACTGCCTGGTGGAAAAACGTTCCACTTGGGATACCTTATTGAGGATCTAGGAGCAAAACAATGCGTGTCTGTATTAAATATCTATTTTATGAGTCTGAGTTTTATCAACGACTACCTTTTACTGATAGGACTGGGTATCGATTGCATTTTCAAGATTTTATGTGATTCCAAATGTCAAGATTTAAAATGGATTATTTAAATCCGGGTTGATCTTACATAGGACACCTGGTATTAAATACTTTTAAGCTCATTCATGAATTACATGACTATTCAGTTATCCAACATATAGATACTAGTATTATATAAACTTACAACAGCAAATTAATAAAGTAACAGTAGGCACTGTTACAACATTTAAAAAAGTTTTTTTTATTGATTTTTGGCTATATGAATTACTATTACTAACATAAATAAATATTTGACATATTTCACTTCATTGAATCTATATAATCCACTTATCAAAAAAAATTAATTACATAAAATAACTCCTCAGTGATTTCCCAATTGCTTGAGATGTGATTGCTAGTAAATGAGGCCTGTACCCACCTGCTATATAGTACTGCCCAGCCCCATCTGGGATGGGCTTCTGCCTGTCACAGAACGTTTGCACAGCCGCTGAAGTGTTCTGACTCATAGATTTCCTGAGTGAGGAGAAAAAAACTGATTTATTTAGTTTCTGGGCATCTTTGAAAACCTGGTAGGGACATCAGTAACAACTTACCTGTAGTTGTGAATCATCCTGATGTCATAGAGGCGAACGAAAGGCCCGTTGGCTCCCACTGCTAGGTAGTTATTGTCCCGCGGATTCACTGCGAGGCACTTGGCCTCAGCCAACTGCCCACAAAACTCTGTCAGGTCAATCAGAACCTCAGAGTGTTTACTGTTCTCGCGCAGATCATACTGTCTGCGGTGGAAAAAAAGAGGAAATATTCTTCCATCCTTATGGGGATGTTGAAAAGGCTAAAACTACAGTTTCAGGTTCTCACCTGATGATGCCATCCTCTGCAGCACTCCAGAAGGTGTTGGGCCACATTGGTGCCGTGGCGATACGTTTCACTCTATTAGTGTGATCAGAGAACATATGGATGGTTTCCTTCACGGTCAGGTCGTGGACATGGACCTTTGTGTCGGCTGCACCTGTTACCAAGATCCTGTCCCCAGTGTGAGGGAGGAACTGTAAACAGAACAGCAGACAGAGAAAAAAAAAAAAAAAAACAGACACAAGTAATTATGAACTTAGTGGCAAACAAAGATGGTTGACATAATGAAGTGGTTTACAAAGACAATCTCGATTTAAGACAGACACGTGATCATTTGAAGGAAAACCTTTATCCGATTCCAGCTTTCCTTTTCCAGGAACAGAATTTATTCAGGTTTAGAGCATTGCAGTAAGTGGGTGCAGAGTATATAAAACAGAAGCTGAAAATACAGGAGTCATTCTAGCAACGATCCTTACCTTAACAGAAAATATATTCGCAGCATGACCCGTGTGCATGGTTGTGAGCTTCTTATGTCTGAATGGATCCCAGATGATGGCATGTTGATCATCTGAGCCTGAAGCCAGCAGACTGAGAACAATAAGAATTACTAGCACAAGCTAAGCTGCATTTGGGCCCTTTATGTCTAAATACATATAAACAAAAACTCCATTTAAACATCTGTATTATTATTAGTAGAGTTACACACTAAGGTTGACCGATAAGTAAAAATTTTTTCAACAGTCCAGACCAACAAACCGGGATGGACGATATATTTGTGCAGGTGACTTTGTGGGCTAAGACAAGCAAACCGTAGGCTGGTTTATACTCAGAAACCAGGTCGTCTGCGTGTGTCGCACTGAATGCATATATACCTCCGCCCCTTCCGCAGACACTCTGCTGCACCTCCCCAAAATTGTAGGCGACCGCAGGACAGTGCCTCAGACAGGAGGCCTCTGATTGGTCAAATCTACATCTGCTCTACACTATGCGTATTTCCTGTTTGGTACCTTACCAGCTTGTTTCGTTTGTATGACCAACATTGTGGAAAAAGACTCCTGAAGTCGTACTCGACTTAAGAGCAAGGTGCGAGAAAACGCTAGGACCCTTTTTCCACCTGGATCCCTGCTCTTTTTGCCCTCATGTCCCTCCGTTGCCGCACAAACTTGCCCCTTGCGTTTTTCCACTTCCTCAGCTGTATGTAGACCCACAGCTAGTTCGTGATTTTCCCTTTTGCATTGTGACGTGGAACATAATAGTGAACAGTACGCTTCAATATTGGGCATAAATCAAAAATATTCGCATCATACCTGCGACAAGCTCACTGCGGCACACTGCTGCGGGAGTATAACCAGCCCTTCAGAGTGTGTCTTCTGCACAGCTGGTAATATTTTTAACTACCTGCACACACGGCTAAAACCCAACAGGGTAGGCATGCTTGTTTTCTTGTCAAAAAAATTATGTTTCATCTAGGGGAAACAGATTCCTCTTTTCCAGTTGTTCTGACTATGTCATGAGAGAATATAGTTTTTTGATTGTTATTACTTCGTTTGTCTAAATACACAAAAATCGAACAGACTAAAAACTGGGAAAGTGCGTGGCTTAACTGGAAGAGAGAATTTTTGACTGTATTTTGAGTGTAAACACACTTAAAATAAGATAACAGCCTCTCTCTAGTTCTGGTTCGACTGCTAAAAAACAATAACAAAAAAACAGCCAGTTTCTGGTTTGGATCAGTTCTTTCTTTCTGTCTGAAGTAGCTGCTGCACAGTGGCCTTTACGTTCTACCTCATGGCGTTTAAATTACATGAGTTTGATATTACGAATTATCCGATTCAATATCGGAAATCTGTCCAATATCAGCCATCGGAATATAACAGCTATAAAAAGCTGAAAGACTACACTTCATTTGGCATCTATTTGAAGATTATGTAACTCGTTGTTTAATAATAAATTGGTCAGCTTTTCCTCACCGCGTTCTTTTTTTACTGTTGTTCTCTGTTTATCATCACCTAATCAGGCATTTTCTAATATTCCAGACTAAAAATGAGTAATAAAAGAAGATATGATTTGTTCCAACATATATCTGGTCAATATCAACATTTGCCAACATTCAAAGCTGCAATATTGGGATTGTATGGGAAATAAAAGGTTATATCAATACATCCCTATTTTATATGTCATTTCTTTAAAGTTATTATGCTTAACAAGCCACACAGATAATTAAACTGTCTCTGTATAAAGCTAAATACCTCTATATGTAAACAAATATCTTAAATACTCACCTAAATGCAGAGGGAAGATAATAAAAACGGCAAGAGGCTAAGTTACAATGTAAGAACAGATTATTTGAGACCTAAAGAGACTTACTCTCCTTGTTCGTTCCATTCCAAACAGTTCACACAGCCGGTATGGCCCTAAAGAAGAAGGTGACATGGATCGTGAGAAAAAGATGAAATACTACCTGTTAGTTTGTGCAAGACATATCAAATATAAAAAATTATATCAAAGCTACTCTTGGGAATAGAATATATCTTAGCCGTCACATTCTACAAACACAATGCACAACATAAAGAAACATACACTGCTGATAAATCCACATTTTCCCATGCTCTGGTATGCCATCACCACCCAGCAGAGTATTTTCTATTTGCAACTCTGAGTTTTACTGTTTTACACATTAAAGCACTACAAGAACACATTTTGACTCTTTATAGCACTGGTTGGACAAATAAACAGCATATACATGCAACTTTTACATTTTTTTTTTTAATTAATGAGAGCAATACTCTATAGTTCCCAGCCGGAATTATGTCTTTAGTGTAGATTATTGTTGGATTTCAAATCGGAAAACTCGCAAAATTATACTACTGGTTGCAAATGGAATGCAATCCCTCACACAAGCATTCTTAGTGTGAGGGATTGCAATCGAGTCAATGAGTCGATGCAATAAACTGGTTTTCCTTAGATGGATCAATTTGACTGTATGATCTGGTGAACTGTAAAGTGCCTTGAGATGACATGTGTTGTGAATTGGCACTATATAAATAAACTGAACTATATTACCACCTGGGATACACATGTAATAGAGAGCTGGATGCATTATAATCACATTATACACAGAAAGAAAAGAGGAAATTTGGATCTATTTGCAACATGTCTCTTCACTGCAAGTTCCATCCACAAAAACAACAGCTGTTTTGGTGTTTTTAGCTATCATTATAATACTCTTGAATGCCTGCTTTTTGAAATGTGAAAAGCATCTGATGTTAAAGACCTGAAGTTCAGCTTCCAATCCAAGTCTTTTAATAAAGGGATCGGTGACATGAAAACACCTCTGAAAGCCAGACGTCCTCTTGTCCTAAACATTTATAACAACAGATGATTAATAATCATGATTTACATAATCGAGGAAATCCCTCAGATCGAGCAGCTGTGTTTGCTCACCCTGATCTGCCTGTGCAGAATCTCCCTGGTGATGTTGGCAGCAGCCATGGCCTCACAGCAAAGCAGAAAACAGGTTCCTGGAGTCACTCAGAGGGCATCTACGGCTGGAAGAGGCAACTGAACTAGAAAAGACAATCACAGAATCGCGATAGAATAAGTTATTGATTACAAACAAAAAAAAAAAAAAATGGTGGTGAAACTGTGTTTGTTAATAAAAATATGAGAGCTCAGCTAGTAGTAGACTTTACTCACTTTAGTGTCGAAGAGACGAGCGTTAAGCTCCTACTCCAGAAATCCAGTAAAACGAGGACATTAGCTGGGGAGCTACTGTTTACCACTTCAGCAACAAGCCTCCGTTTGCCACGAAACACCAGCTTTTCTAAAGGTTACACCGCTGTTCGCTTCACAAAACCCTTTATTCCCGTTTAAACCGGGCCTCTAAGAGCCTTGTCCGTAACAGAACAGCTGGTGTTAGCGCATTGCAGCTACCTTGCTAGCCAAACAAAACGTCCAGTTCATGTAAGGTAAACATCCGCAAAGATTTCATGACAGAATGCGGGAAGTTAATAGATCTCCTCGGTTTTCTTTCCGTTAAAACACTTCTGTCAAATGCTGTCTGTTTAACAAAGATGACAAAAAGACGTTGAGTTTGACGGGAATCGCAGAAATACCCTTTCTAAGTTGAACACAAACCTGCTCTCTCAGGTAATCAGCCTAGTTCCGCCAGACTAAACACTTCCGGGCCGACAACCTTTCAAAATAAAAGTATCAT